CGTGTTCACGCCTGTCTCGTGGGGTCACACGTGTGATGGACGCGGTGACTGTGGCTCACAGCCTCGGCCACCTGAACCAAGCCCCCTTTTGTTCTCTGAGCTGCTGACTCGCGTTGATCTGCCACAGTAGGCCCGGAGCTGAGTTTGGGGTCTGGAACTGGGGAGCCCCCGACTGCTCCATGAAGTAGTGAGGGTCATTTGGAGCCTTTTCGAACCTGGAAGGGAAGCGGGGAGGAGCAGAGGCTGGAAGAGAAAGTGAGATGCTGTGAGATGAGAGCGGCTTGGGTGAAGAGGACGGTGGACGTTGGGGGGGAGGGGGGGGCGGCAGGAGCGGAGCTAGAGGATTTTTATCCTCTAGGATAACGAGGACATCTGCCAGATTCCTTCAACGTACTTTGATTTGGAAATCTTCCTCCATCTCTCTTCCCTATGAGTAGAGCCTGAGTAGGGGATTCTGGTGCAAATAGTTTACTGGGGGAGTGCCTCAGGAGAAAGCTGAGATGCCGTCAGAGCTGGGCTCTGGAGCACAAATTATGTCCAGAGCTGGTCCGGCTGGAAGGCAAGGGGACTGGCCTTCTGTTCCCCACAGCATTCGGTCATTGGCAGCCCAGTGAAGGGGGCATCTGTGAGCTCTCAGCAGTCCGCACCCACAGCAGCCAGGGGACAGCCTCACGAGCTGGACGGGGCACTTTCAGCACCTGCTCCATGTTCCTCACGTTTTTCAAGGTCTCCCGAATACCCTGTGACTGAGGAAAGGGATGGATTTCCCTTCTGAGTTGATGAAATAATTAACCACTGAACTAATTCATCAAAACAAGAGCCAGGGCCACAGGTGACTGTGAGACTGTGTGTAGCCTCCCCTGCTCCCACCATGTGCAAACTCCTGGGAGAGAATTGGAATCCCACAAGACTGAGAGTGCGGTTACGCTGACACCAGCAGAGAGAGCTAAGCCTCATGACGCGTATCCCTACTTCCCTGAAAAGAAAACCGAAGTGCAAAAGGGTGAAGATAGTGACGTTATAAATCCAAAGAAGGGTGAGGACTTTAATAAAAGCAGTGGCAGAGGAAAGAAAGGGAAGAGAAGTTCATGCTTTTTGAGCACCTTCATGGCACCAGGCTCTATGATGCAGGCACACATGCTTTGCGTGCAGTTAATCCATGACCAACTCATTTAGTCCTGGAAACCATCCTGAGGGAGTATTACCCCAGTCTAAGGCCCAGGAAATGGAGACTCTGGGGAGGTAAGGTGTTATGACAGTCCCGCTATTTGCTGCCCAGTACCCATTCTCTCCTTCCTTATGACAGAACCCAACTTCCTTAGGTGTAACAATGTGTCTGGTTAGAAAAATTGGTGCCTAAGTTCCCACTGGCCAAACTTGGGACAACTTGAGCATTATAGCAATTTGACAGTTTGAACCTATAACATATTTAATTTTTTAAAAACTGCAATAGTCCATGTGTTAAAAGAGAGGGGATGTAAAAAAAGGGGGGGGGGTCTTCTTTACAAAAGAATGCCAGCAAATCAGTGTGAGATTTAAAAATTGCCATTTTGTGACCCTCAGTGAATTAACTGAATCATGCAAAAATCATCAGTGGATCCTAAAGCTGTTGAGTGACAACTCCCAAGTCTCACCACAGATTTCTGAACAATCATGAAGAGAAAGCTATTACATTGATGAGGCCTGGAGGTCACTTGCTTAACTAAATGGCTGAACTTAGCATCACAG